ACTTTCCTTTTAGACCGAATGTTTACCTTCCAAATTTATTTTGCTCATATTCAGTTATAAATTTTTTTATGCACCTAAGCAAAATGAAGCTATTAATATGCTATTGATATGTGGGCTTCAGTAGCAGAAGACCTTTGCAGACAGTTAAATGTTGCCAGTTTTATATCAATATCATCTCAGTATCATCACATGATTCAGAAAGATAATCAGTTAAGTCAATTCCAATAGTAGTTTTGTTTTTTTTTTTAATCCTAATTCTTGGAAATTTCAGTGGTTTTTTTTTTTTCTTCTGTCAAAGATGCAACTTTTTTCTATGAATGCTACTGTAAATTCAGTTCAGCATTGTGCATCTGTGTGCTTATGTATTACTTTGGTGAGCCACAACATCGTGTTAAAAATTAATATTCTTACTAATGCCTATGGAGCAGAAATGCACTTGAAATTTAATGTGATATCCATATAAGTCATTATTACCTCCAAACAAGCTGCAGTGTTCATTGAAATAGACACTTAAGTTGTCAAAATAATTGATTTTTTTTTTTAAGACAGGAACTTGCTCTGTCACCCAGGCTAGAGCACAGTGGTTTTGATGATAGCTTACTGCGGCCTTGAATGAACTCCTGGGCTCAAGCAGTCCGCCCACCTCAGCTTCCCAAGTAGCTCGGACTGTAGGCGCTCACCACCACACCTGGCTAATGCCATTTTTAAAAAAAATAGAGATGGGGTCTCACTGTATTGCCCAGGTTGGTCTTAAGTGATCCTCCTAGCTCAGCCTCCAAAGTGCTGGGATTATAGGTGTGAGCCACCCCATACCTGGCTGTTTTTCTTTTTTTTCTTTGAGACAGAATCTTGCTCTGTCACCAGGCTAGAGTACAGTGGCACGATCTTGGCTCACTGCCAACCTCCACCTCCCGGGTTCAAGCAAGTCTCCTGCCTCAGCCTTCCGAGTAGCTGGGACTACAGGCACACACCACCACATCCAGCTAATTTTTGTATTTTAATAGAGACGAGGTTTCACAGTGTTGGCCAAGATAGTCTCAAACTCTTGATCTTGTGATCTGCCTGCCTTGGGTTCCCAAAGTGCTGGGATTATAGGCGTGAGCCACAATACCCGGCCTTCGTTTTTAATTGTATACAGAATAGCTGAACTAGAAACTATTTGTGATGAAGATGACTGAATGCAAAAAAAATATGTCTGCATGGCAGTATGCTTATCCTTTTTGCTTGCCCATCAATTGGGTTTTAAAGTGTAAGCCTTCAAAGAATTAGTCTGTAAATCAGCCAGAGTGTCCTAGGATGGTGCTACAAACTTTACACACACACACACACACACACACACAAAAAAAAAGTTGCCTAATTTTGATTGCATTTTATCAGAATATGCTGGAAATCTGTAATCAAAGGATTCAACAAATGAAGTGCCAAAATACTTTAACTTTTAAATTTTTTGGTGAATTGCAGTTATTAAAAACAAAGCTGGCAACAGGAAGACATTGATCATCTTTCCCTAAAAACACAAAGGAGGAAATGAACAAATTACTGAAAGCTCAACAGTGCACAATACTTAATTATGAAATTCCGTAAATATACTTTGGATATGGTATGGAAAGAATCTCCTGATGATTTTCCTTGTTGTAACTGGATAAATTTATAGTCTAGAATGGAACGGAATGAAACTGGGAAGACCTTAACTTTGTATCATCTAAATTTGGTAAAACAATTACAAGAATAATAGAGGTAATTTGAGTTTTGTATTATGAACATATTTGTCAAAGGCACTGTGAATGGAGGGACTGTGAACTGGAAGGCTGAAATATTTACACTTTCCATATGAAAAAAATATAACTGAAAGATACTTCACTTACCAGAACTTGTTCAAATAGTAGTACTGTGGACAAATTATTTTTTCTCAAAAAAAATAGTCTTGTATTAAACTTAAAAACTTCAGTGTGCACAGATAGGTTTTTAGGGACACCATAATAAACCAATTTATTGGATAGTAAATATTTTAAAGCATATAATTTTAGTTATTTATAGCATTCTGTTCTCAGAAATGTTCATTTGGACTGTAAATTGTATGCTGACCCAATCCAGATGCCAGACTACATTTTGCATGTTTAAGACTGTTTATGGACTTCTGAATTAAGATGACAGATCAGAATTTTGTTGAAAGCTTTACAACCTCTTATACTTATTGAAATGAGAAAAAGAATAGTAATCATCAAAGAAAACAAATTCAGCAACCAAACAAGATAAGGTCATAAAGTAAACCTCAAAATATCTTTTGGCCACAATGAAAAGAAAATATTATAGAGTATTTAACAATAGAATAGTAATTATTTACATGGTTCTGAGATGCTGTTTACAAAGTTACTGAAGCAAAGTGTGATGCAAAAATATTATGCCTAACCAAAACATCATCTTAAGGACAAACATTTTGAAATATGAAAAAGTTCAGGCAAGATTTCACAACTAAGCCCTTTTGGGGAAAAGTGTTTAATCCAGACATTAAGAGATTAATCAGCTGTGAAATGGAGAAAATCAAGGCAAAATGATGAGTGATAAGGATGAAATTAATTCAACTGTAGAACTAAGTTTAAAGGACTATGGGAATTACTTTTAGGAGACAGAGTATGAATATTATAAACCTGGACAATAGAAAGAATAAAGAGTAGAAAGAACAAGGAACAAAAATAGGAAGAAAGATATCCTCAATTTTATAAAAGTGCCCAATCAACCTGGTCTTTAAACATATGCATAAAAAGGCATCTTGAAGGCCATTCAAACCCTTTGGAAGAAAATATCTTGGGGCCATAATCCTGAATTTCAGAAAATTTTTACCCATTTTTCTCCTGGAAGGAGGAAAAATAGGGCAGTTTTTTTCTTCAAAACAACTGGTATTTTAAAACTAATTTTTTTTTCATGTTCTTCAATCATCCTGCAGAGTTGTAAAAAAAGAGATGAATTTTACTTGCTTTGAGCTATGTCTCTATTTCAGAATCTTAGCTCATTAGTTACAAGCAAACTTTTTGTTCACGAGCAGTATTCAAAGCATCTGATAATTTAAAAGATTTTACTGTACGTTGAATTGTATGGGTCAGGTGCTCATGGTTCAAGGAGTATCTACATCTAAACCTATGGAGGTGAGGACAACAATCTAGTTTACAAAGGTTTTACAAAGACCTTTCAACTGATTCTCATACACACCGAGTTGTAGTTTCCAGATGATACTGCTGCTGCTGCTGCTGTGGGGTCCTCGCTTTGAGAACCACGGCTGGAGGAACAGAGAGTAGGAGAGAGGCTCACCTGGAAGTAGTTGCCCTACCTCAGCCTTTGATGCCAGAGAATGAGTGAGAAGGGGATACTGTGTTCTGCAAATGACCACGAAGCAATTAACAGTTACTGAGTGTCCACTTTGTGCCAGGCCTTGTTCTAAATGTCTTCCACATATTACCTCTTTTATTGGCTTCTGATGTACATATTCTTATTCCGTTTTACAGATGAAGAAACTGAAGCAGGAATTTCCCAAAGTCCCACAGCTAGTGAGGAAGAGAGCCAAATGCAAGCTGTCTGACACCAGAGCTTGTGCTCTCAACCGCATCAACAAAAGCTTCGATTATTTTATGCTCTATTGGAAGATGATACTGCTTAGTTCTGGAGATTTAAAATAAATTCTTTTCCATCTATATAAAGTTTATTTCTTCGACTTCTAAAATTATATAAAGCAGTTTAGCATATTATATAGAGCAGCAAAGATCCCAATAAAAATGGAGACCCAGAAGAAAATAATTAGTGTTACCAAACCTGGACGTAATGGGCAGCTAACTCATGTGTAGGTACTGTGTGTGTAGTGTAAGGCAAAAGAAGGACTTGGGATTAAATTCAAAAGTAAATTACTGCATGGTTCTTCATAAATATAACATTTGAGGACTATGGTTGCCTTCATTGTCCATTTATTATCTTTAGTCATTTTTTAAATGGATGTGTACTATATCAACACCCTAAAACCATGAGGTTAAAATACAACTTGGAAAAAAAGAATTCCTGTCTCAGTTTAAAAGAATATTATCCTCTTTTTTTCTAACAGTCTCCTCCTCTTCTCTTAACCCCACGTAAAGGTTAGGAGAGATCTAGCAGGTAGTTGTGAGACTTTCCCAGATTACAAAGCATTTCTTGTTTTGTTTTTCAATTTCCTACCAACAGAAACTTTTGATATTTAGTGAAGATGATTTAAATTTCATTACATTTCTGCAAAATTAGGTACTGTTCAAAATGCAAATTGGGACATCTATCTTATGAGTATCCAACTTAATTTAGAAAATGGATGAGAAGTAAAATAAGTAAAAAGTGGAAGTACATTCGGAAGATATGGATGCTAGGGTAGAGTATACTGTATTACCTTCTGAGAAGAAAGCATTAAAATGCTAAAGCAATTTAGAATTAATAATCAGACACTATATTTAATTTTTACCGATAATCATTGTGTTGATTATTGATTGTGTAGCCTTTTCTCTAGTCTTAGGACTTAATAGATATTCTAAACCTTCCAAGTTCTCCTTGCAGTGATGTTATGGATCCTCTCCTCTAAAACAAGTAGATCTGAACGTACGGTTTTAAAATGGGAAATGAAAGTTGTAGAATATAATTTTGTAGAAGATTTTTCTAGGCAACTTAGTATATTTCTTTCTGGAGCTAACAGCTTTCTATACAAGTTGTATATTTTGGGAATTGAGTTTTCTGGTTAATTTAAAATTCTGCTTAATTTACATTTTATTGTATCAGAAAAACCAATTTTCAACGAACAGATACAATAACTGTATCATTTATCATTAGTGGTTGTGAAAGCATTTTGGAATCTTGTAATTACTTTAAAACAATATTAGCAACCCTAAATTTTATCTGTTATGCAAAAATAATCCTGTGTACTTCAATTTTCTCATTATTTAGGTTGTAAATATTTGACCTTACTATAATAGAATTCTCTGATTTCTCTATTTCAGAATTGCCACTGCCTTCAGAAAGTGTTGATATTATTATTTCTGACATTCCGTTTGGGAAAAAATTTAAGTTAGGAGAAGACATCAAAAGGATTCTACAAGAAATGGAAAGGTAAGTTGTTGAATTTATTTTCATAATTTTTTAGCTACTGGGCATTTAACTGAAATACATCATAGCCCTTCAGTTAAGGTCTGATTACCTTGTAGTAATTTCCCAGAGTTTTTGTAGCTTAATTTTCTAAGGTTTTGAGTCAGAAGTTTATAGTTGAAATAAATGTTATCCATATCATCTTATATCATAAATTTTATTCAGAAAAATAATAATTCTCTATTATGTACTGAGAATTGAATATATGAAATAGTGACCTATATTTCAGTCACTGGTCTGAAGCAAAATTTTACATATTTGCTTCTATCCCTCACAAAAAAAAACTGCCTTCTGTGTGTTAATCCCCCACACTTAACAGATGAGAATCTGGGGCACAGAAAGATTAACTTTCTTATGATCACTCAGCTACTAAACAACAGAACAGAATTCTATAACATAAGGAATGTTCCATAACATGGAATGGGCAGCACCTTTATATTGGTTGTTGTCTTTGTCCATTTTCTGTTGCTGTGAAGGGGTACTGGAAGCTAGGAAATTTATAAAGAAAAGAGGTTTATTTGGCTCTTGATTCTGATGTCTGGAAAAGAAGTACAGTACCAGCATCTGCTCAGTTTGTGGTGAGGTCCTCAGGCTGCTTCCACTCACAGCAGAAGGCAAGCCCCGTGTGCAGAGATCACATGACAAGAGAGGAAGCAAGAGGGAAAAGGAGGTGCCAGGCTCTTTTTAACCACCAGCTTTACCTGGAAGTAATAGAGTGAGAACTCACCCATTGCCCCTCACAGGGAGGACATTAATCTATTCATGATATATCTGCCCACATGACCCAAACACTTCCATTAGGTCCCATCCCAACATTGGGGAGCAAATTTCAACATGAGGTACAGGGGTACAAACCCAAACTATAGCAGCTGTGAAATGAAAAATGCAAAAGTATTCACCTTATGGTTTCTAATGACCTAAGGGAATATAATTCAATGGAAGCATTTCTTTGAGAGGTTAAAACAATGGGGCATGGATATGTGTTTTTTCTGATCATTTAAATTCACAAAAAAGAGAACCTAAAATGCATAGAGTTATGAATTGGACATGAATATAAGAAGTCAGTTGATATTAAATTGTCTAGCAGGGCATTTGATAACATAAATGTCAAGAGCCTGCTATGTAAATAATGGGTCACGAATTTAAAATATGAGCCATGTGTTTTAGATGGAGAAAATTCAGGGTCAAGGCTAACATTCTGTAAAGAAAATTAAATCTTAACATGAAGTCTAAGCTCAACTAAAAGCCATCTCACTGCATTTTGGGCGCGCGTGCTCCACACTTCTTTTCTGGGTGTTCTCACTCTGTTAGTTCCAGGTAAAGCTGGTTGTTAAAAAGAGCCTGGCACCTCCTGCTTCTCCATCTTGCTTTTTGGATTCTCTTTTTTTAAGCAACTTTCCCCACTACCCAATTGCCTAACTCATGAAATATTACCTGAGACCACTCATTCTGGGCAGCACCTATAATTCAGACATTTCCTGAGTACCTATACTCCCTGCTGCCCAATTTCACATTCCCCTTGAGCAGATTTGGCAACCCTGACTTCATATAAAAATCATTTTAGGAGCTTTTAAAACATAATGATCCCTGCTCTCCACCCCTGCCCACCAAGACTCTAATTTAATTGATCTGGTGGAGGACTTGGGCGTCGGTAGTTCTTAAACACTCCCAAGGTGATGCTATTGTGCAGCCAGGGTTAATGACTACAGCCTTTGAACCTAACTAGATAATGCACATCTATACCTTTAACCAATTCATGGTAAGATACTAACATGTGTGAGCAGTGATGTACATTTAGCCTGGAAGCTTTCAGAGAGATAGTGGCTTACTGTAACTGAAAATCTAATGCTGCATATTACAGCATCTCTACAAGTCAGTGGAGGGCAGTATTTTGAGTAGACGATTGTTTCAGCCTAGTAAATTATACCAGCCTGACTTTCTCTAGGATGGGTTTGGTTTTTATTCTGGGTGATTGAAAATGAGATAGTAATAGATATGACTGCCCTCACATTGTGACAGTAAATTTAAATATTTGAGAATCAGGAAGATGAATATTCGTGACTTCCTGCATACAGAATGCCTCAGTGGGACCAGTTTAAAATGTATGCATTTGGATATAAGGGACTTTTCCTTCTGTGACTAAGCTTCCTTGCCACCTGCCCCCAACCTTTATATCTGACTTTTGGATTTTTATGGTTTGAGGTTTCATACAGGCAATGTGGCGTAATATAGTGGTTCAGTGTAGGCCTTGGAGCCAGACTACCTGAGTTCCAGTCTTGGCTCTATTACTTAATAGTTCTTCAGTCAGAGGCACATTGCTTAACCATTTGCCTGCCTTTAATACCCACCCAAAGGCATTGTTCTGAGGAATCAGCAGATTTGAAGCTCTTACAACAGTGCTGGCCACCTAGAACTTGCTCAGTCTCTGTTATCACTTACCTGATTTTTTAGTGTAAACCACTTGAAATCCTTTTGGGAAGTATATGGGGATTTATGTAAATATATCTAAGTACACGTAATTTTTATTCCAATAGTTTACTGATAGTTTAAGGCCCTAGATAGAAAATGGAAGGGATAGGAAATTGTGTTCGTGAAAATACAACAAATACAAGGGATCGGTACATATGTTAATAACAGGCAGTGGAAACAGTACTGTGTGTACTACAGAGCTGGACTCTTCAAGAAAGGACATGCAATCAGAATTAAAGATTGTCAGATAAATGATTACTCTGGTGTCGTGAGCTATGCATTCTGAGCTCAATTATTTCCTCCTTTAATTTATTAAAGGATTAACCATTTCATGGGTACAGAGCATTGTGAGGAATTCAGAGAAGTGCATTTGAGTTTTCCTCTCAAATCTAACTGTGCAAACACATGAGCAAAATTAAAAATTCACCTTGCACCACTCGAAGGAAGAAGGCACTGTGTGCCAAAGAGGCTTGAGATGGTTTCAGGAAGAAGCAAGATTTCAATGAAATTTGGAAGTGAAGACAGAATAGAAAAAGGAGACCACATCATTTTTATATATACAGATGTTTAGTAAGTATTTCTTGAGTGAGTAGTACAGCAAAAGGTGTGGAGATGAAACAGTGTGGAGATTTCTACACCAGCCTGCCTGGAGCAGAAGATTTGTAGTAGGTGATTAAGACTTACTGTATCCCACAGACAAATAATTCAGGATTATTTGCATCATCTACTCCTAGGTTTTCAGGTTCACATACAAAAGAGAAATCTCTGATGTTGTTTAATACAGAGTTTCCCCAACTTATTGACCACAGAGTTTTTTCTTAAGAAATAGAAATATTTTTATTTTTATCATCACTGATACACAGTAGTGTTCAAAGGAATAGAATTTGGTATACGTTGCTTTATAATTTCTGAATAGCTTTCATAGTAAGAAATTATGTGTATCTGGGCGCAGTAGCTCATACCTGTAGTCTCAGCAACTCAAGACACTGGGAGTGGGAGGATCTCTTGAGGCTGGAATTCAACAGTAACCTGGACAACTTAGCAAGAACTCATCTCTAAATAAATAAATTAAAAAATTAAGTGTGGTGGCATGCACCTTCAGTCCCCACTACTTGGAAAGCTAAAGTGGGAGGATCACATGAGCCCAGGAGTTAGAGGCTGCAGTGCGCTGTGATCAAGCTGCCTGGGTGACAGAATGAGACCCTATCTCTAAAAAGAAAAGAAATTATGTATATATGAACTAGGTGACACCAGTAGCTTGAGGTTTGATCAAGCTGCCTGGGTGATGGAATGAGACCCCCTTCTCTAGAAAAAAAAAGAAAGAAAAGAAATTATGTGTGTATGAACATGGAAAGATGTCTAGAATGACATTTATGGAAAATGTTAATCTCTGAGTAGCAGGATTTCAGGTGATTTTCAGTTTTTCTCCATTATTTGAAAAAAAAAACAAATGGTGAATGTCCTGCTAGGAATCTTGCCATGTACATATGCACAAATAAATAAATGTTTTCTACTGTACATAAATAGAATTATCTTTAACTTACTCTACTGGAACGTTGCTTTTTCCCTACTCAACAATGTTGTGAATCTCCTTTTTGATCAGTTATTATAATATACATTACAGTTTTCAGTGGTTGCCACATTATATGTATGTACCACTATGGAACCATTGCTTATGGATGAATATTTAGCTAATTCCCAATTTTTAATTTCAATAAAGAACCATTCTTTGAACATCCTTGCACGGATTTTCAAACTTAACTATATGACCAAGCACCACAGTACCACAGTTTCTTCATCTGCAAAATGACAGTGCTATATAGGATATACTTAAAAAGATAATGCTGAAGGTTAAATGATAAATAATACAGAACATTTCAAACTGCCTGGTACATATTAAATACTCAATAAATATAAGCTCTATCACCATTATTATTGCCATTATTCAACTAATTTTACTATTACATCTTCTTAGGATAATTTCCTAGAAGTGAAATTGCTGGGTCAAAGGTTATGCACATTTCATATTTTTGATACAGTATTGCTAAACTATTGGCCCAAAAAGTATTTCAATTTCTGTCTTCAGGAGTACTCATTTTCCCATCCACTTCCTCCTTGCTCAGTAGAAGAGGTTTCCCTCTTCCTGCAAGGGTTTATCCTCTCAGTTCCTTCCTCCTCAAGGATCACACTCTGCCCACTTCTCATTTTTATCTTCTGCCTACTCATCTGCTGGTTCTTTCCAGGAGATTCATTTATCCCTTCCCCAGACACATTTGGAAGTCTTTGCATCTCCCATGCACTTCCACGTACTTGGCCCTGGAGATTACTGCAGTGAATAGGACAGGCAAGGTCTCTGACCATTTATTGTGAAAAGACAGATGGATAATAAGTAAATAAATGATAATTTCAGATCATGACTGGTACTGTGATGGACATAAAACAAAATGTTTCACTTTAGAGTGAGAGAAAAGCAGTGGTTACCCTAGCTAGGTAGTCAGGAAAGGCCTCTCTGGGAAAGTGTTATTTGACTGTGGGGCGTGAGTAATGAAAATGAGTGTCAAATGCAGGGTGAACAGCAAGTCCAAATGTTCCTAAGGTGAGAAGCAGCTTGGTGAGTTTGAGCAGCTGAAGGAAGGTCATAAGCACAGAAAGCAGGCAGTGACGTCTGAAAGGTAGGTGAGGGTCAGATTGTGTAGGAGCCTTGGGTGCCAGAGTAAGGGGGTTAGAATGTATTTGAAGTACAGTACAAGCAACTGAGGAGTTAGCAGGGAATTTACATTTGTCTTCTGTGTGGAAACGGAAGAGAGAGTGGGAAGGGTGACAAGAATGGAAACACGACCTGTCTACCAGATTGTTGCTGTGGTCCAGGCAAAGTATGAATGAAGTAGACAAATATGTGATACAATTTGGAGACAGAATTGTCTAGCTTTGCTAATGAGTTAGACTGGGCAGAGCTACCTAAGCTTCTTAGATTTCTCTGGGCATGAGGCAGATTCCCTTTAACTCTTGGTCCTTAGCTGCCACTGTTTCTTTTCCTGTACAGCTGAACTTCTTGAAAGAATTGTCTGCACTTGACACGTCTGCTTCCTCACTTTCCAGTGCCATCCACCCTGGCAGATGAGGTTCTGCTCCTGCCTTCAGCTAGGATTGCTGTCCCTGGGTTCACTAATGATTTCTCATCACCCTGATCACCTATTAGTTCTATAGCATTTGTTATTTTATTGTTTTTATTTTTTTATTTATTTTAAAGACAAGGTCTCTCTCTGTTGCCCAGGCTAGAGTGCAGTGGTGCAGTCTCAGCTCACTGCAACCTCTGCCCCTTGATCTCAAGCAATCCTCCCACCCCAGCCTCCCAAGTAGCTGGGACTGCAGGCACACCCCACCATACCTGGTTGATATTTGTATTTTTTTTGGTAGAGACAGGGTTTTGCCATGTTGCCCAGGCTAGCCTCAAACTCGTGGGCTCAAGCAATCCTCCTGCCTCAGCCTTCCAAAATGTTGGGATTACACACTGGCCCTATAGCATATGACACTGTTGAAACTGTTTCCTCTTGAAACTGTACTTCTTTGGCTTCCTTGACATCACTGTTGTCCAGATTTTCTCTTAGGATGTCTATTTCATGGATCTTCTCTATCACTTTTTAAATGTGAAATCTCTGTTCCTTGTCCTACTTTCTTCTCTCACCCTGTACTGCCACCCTAGGTGATCCCATCCACCGTTATGGCTTTAGCTACCATTTACTCTTTCTTTACCTCAATGCCTGGTCTTTCTCATTACTCCTGGCTGTGTATCCAGCTGTCTGGTGGAATCCATACTTACGTGTTCCTTAGGTGCATCAGCACGTTCTAAGCTGATCTCCTTACTCCCCTCCTCCCTCTACCTCCCACCTGCTCTGACTCACCCACCCACTGAGCTGCTTTCAGAGCTGCCTCCTCTCCACTTCCTCCTGCCTTTGCTGCTTTTTCTGCTCCCAGCACCCTCCCTTGCTGCAGCCGCTTGCTGTCGCTTTGCCTGGCTCATTCCTGCTTGTCTTTTAACTCACAGCACAGGTGTCTTCCTCTGGAAACTTCTCCCCTATCTCCTATGCCTGGGTTTAGGATCCACCTCATGTTCCCAAGGCCCTCTTGCTTGCCTTGATTGTGGCATTTTCACACCCTTTACATGACTTTCTCTCCCAAAGAGATGTTCAGTGATCTCTTGGCAACTTACAGGACTGTGCCACAGGACACAGGCAAGTGTTTTCATCACTTTCTCCACATAAGTGCTACACAGACTTTGATGATTGAGTAAATGCCTTCTCCTCAAAAAGCTGACATTTCAAGATCTGCCCTTCTTTTTCTGATTTTTCCTTTGCCATTTCTTTGTTTGTATCCTAACTCTTTCCTGTTAACTTTCTTCTGCCGTCAGCCTACTGCTTTTAATACATGCAGTCTTTAGGATTCTGTCATTCGCCTTTTCCTTTGTACAATCATTTATTAGACTGTGACTACAATTTACTTTGAGGCTTTCCTGTTAAGTAGAGTAAAAATAGATAATTAAAGCAGATTTGTACTAGGAATTTTATAATTACTATAATGAATATGCATTATAGAAGATACTACCTAATTATCAAAAATCCTTGTATTTAAATGAGTAAAATTAAATTTCAAATTAAAAACACGAAATGTTTTCAATGAAGTGGGATTGTTTGTTGTCTGGAAAGGAAGAAATATAGCAATTACCATTTTTTTTTGTTACAGAGTGCTTCATGTTGGTGGAACCATTGTACTGTTGCTTAGTGAAGATCACCACAGGCGTCTTACAGATTGTAAAGAGAGCAGTATCCCTTTCAATTCCAAGGACAGTCACACAGATGAACCTGGAATTAAAAAGTGCTTGATTCCTGAAGAAAAAACTGGTACATCCAAGACAGTGTCAACTTCATTTGAAGCCAGTAACCACAAGTTCTTAGACAAAATGTCACCATTTGGCTCCTTGGTCCCAGTGGAATGCTACAAAGTTAGCCTTGGAAAGACAGATGCGTTCATATGTAAATACAAGAAGTCGCACTCTTCTGGACTGTAGCAGGCTTGCCACCATCAGCCAGGGTCAGGCCCTTGTAAGTTAGCTGTACAGCAGAAGTTTGCTGTCTCGAGGATTCATATGGCACCCACAGAGCTCCAAGTAACTGGATTCCCCCAAAAACAGGAGGTGTGGCTGATGGGTTCATGTGCTTGGTAAGAGTTTCTGCTTTATACTTTAAAGTGCTTAATGTTTTTGACAAAAAAAAAGTTACTGAATATTTTTTAGACTTAAGTTTTATATTCACATTCTGTCAGAATGTGAAAAGATCTGTTCTGCCCAGTTTCTGAGCAAAAACTTCAACTTTAAAATAAAAGTTTTCAGGGATTCACCTAAGTGCATCACAGTCAACACCAGATTGGAATATTTTAACTATCCGTTTTTTGAACATGTAAAACCCTTTATATGTAACTTCGTTTGATATTAAACTTGATTTTTGAGCCTGTAATTTTCTTCTCCATTGGAATGAAAATAATTTGTATTTGCAATACATTTTATGTGTTTATTATATAAACCATTATTGAGAATAACAACTGAATTAAGCCTTCAACATGATGGAAAATGAAATGTGCTTTTTTCCTAAAAGCATTCATAGATTGTCACCTCACCCTTATTTGTAGAAATTCAGTGTGTTTCTTATGTTCGCTCCTGAGAAAAAGAAACAGTAAGTTGAGGAACATATATGCTCTGGTTGAATTGTTTTCTATAGTCTGATACAATTGTTCAACTTATTGGCAGCTTTAGTAGCATTTGAACTACTTTCCTATGTTTGGGAAATTTTCCACCCTGTGAATCACCCCTCCGAAGCAGAAGCCATAAAATCTGTTTTCCAGCCAGGGTGTGGTAATTGGACCCCTGGTATTAGGTGCACTCACGTGCAAGCTATGGCATTTGTGCCCAACAGCAGCACAAAGAGGTCTTCACCAGAACATTCCTATCCTGAGGTTTCAGCAGTGCTCTTGGCTGCATAGCCACCACTAAGCTTTTCCCTGTGCCTTCCTAGAAAATTCTAAGAGCTACCTACTAATCTTTAATACATTTTATTTTTGCTAAAACTAAGTAAATTGGTTGTGTTTTTAACAGCTGGGCCCCTGATAATGGAGATTGATATTCTGAGGGGTTTCAAGCAAGAAGCCCCCTATAATGGGAATTCATTATTGGTTATCTGGCCTGGTTGGGTTAAAGGCAGTGGGTCTACAGCTAGTATTGTAGAAAGTGTATATGGCATGTGATGGTGAAACAGTTGATGATGCCTGTGTTTACCTGATGCTCTGGAAAACACTAAAAACCTGAGGAATACAAGCACTTTGGGGAGGGCTATCCACTTTTGCTAGAACTTGACAACTCAGAAAAAGCAAGGTTCCTGTAGTCCTTACTCCTTGGGTTAAAGCAGAGGTCTCAGCCAGGGGAAATTTTTGGTCCTCAGAAGACATACATTAATGTCTGCAGATATTTTTGATTAGCACAACTTAAGGGAGAAGAGACATACTCCTGGCATGTAGTGGATACAGTAGACAAGATGAGCGATTAGGTTAACAAGATAATGGATGGCAGGTAGAGGTGGCATATTAGATCAGATGGGGCCTTGAAGACTATTTTAAGGGCTTTAGTTTTTACTCAGAACCACTGAAAGAGTTGTGACTAGGTGATGTCATCTAACATATGTTTAAAGGATACTGTAGCTGCTATGTTGCAAATAGATTGTAGGAAGGGAAAAGTGAAAGTAAAGCGATCAGTTAGGAGTTTTTTGTAATAATTCAGGCAAAAGAAAATGGCAGCTTTCCCCAGGATGGTAACAGAGATGGTAGGAGGCACGTGGATTCTGGATGTATTTTGAAAGTAGAACCAGAAGGATCTGCTGATGTGTTAGATGTGAGGTATGATAAATGGAGAGGAGACAGGAATGACTGAAGATTTTTGGCCAAGAACCTGCAACAATAGAGTTTTCATCAACTAAGAGAGGAAAGGCTACAGAGGGTGCAGGTTTGTTGGGAAGTATCAGAAGTTCTGTTTTGGACTTGCTAGTCTAGACAGTCTAATTTAGACTAGTCTAGACAGTCTGAACTAGCAGATCTTGTTTAGACTTGCTAGACAGTTTTAGACTTGCTAATTTTGAAATATGCATTAAACAACGTGGAGATGTTGATTAGGCAATTGAATATGTGAGTCTGCAGTTTAAGCAAAAGGTCTGCTCTGGAGATACATATTTGGGAATTTTCAGTACTCAGGTGGCATGTAACTGGATGGGATCACCAAAGGATTGAAAATAGGAGAAAAAGACCAGGGCTGAGCCCTGAATTCCTCCATACTGAGAGGTTGGGAGGAGAAGAGGAATCTGCAAAGAAGACTGAGATGAAACAAGCAGTGAAACAAAAGAAAGCCTAGTGTGATTGCCTGGAAAACATGAACGAAGGGCATAGATGGGGAGTATTTAATCCTATAAATGCTGCTAACCGACCAAATAAGGCAAGAACTGAAAATTGACCATTGGCTTTAGCAGTGAGGGTATCATTCATGACCTTGACCGTGGGTCTTTCGGTGACATGGAAGGGGAGCTAAACAAGACTGCGGTGAGCTTAAGAGAAAACAGGGAAAGAGCTGGAGAGAGTGAGCATAGACAGTTCTTACAAGTTGTTTTGCAAAACAGGTGAGAAAAGAAATAGGAGTAGTAGATTGGTAAGGAATGTGGAAGCAAGAGAATGATTTGTTGGGAGAAGCAGCAGTATTTTTTTATGTTAAAGAGAATTCCAGGAGAGATGAAAGGATGATGAAATAGGAAAAAAGGGACAAGTGCTAGAGTGATATCCTTGAATAAGAGGATAAAATTTAGTCCACAATTGGAGGAATTAGCTTTAGAAAGGAACACGATCATGTGTTCACGATTACAGGTGGGAAGACAGCATACAGACATTTCAGCTATAGTAGAAGTATGCTCCTAAAATTTTTTTTCATTCTCAAATTTATGCACTAAAAATATTTTATGAAAAAAATCTAAGTTCTGGTTGGGGCAAACCATTGCAAACATCCAGTTTTGCAACCTGAACACTAACAGAAACACCAATCTTAGTCAAAATATTGGTACCATTAAGACATTATATTCCTAACAAAAATATTATAAAGGACTTCACCTTTCCAGGAAAAGGGCACAGGCACCTTGATAGACTTGGGCATAAATAAAGAAGGGTAAGGAGATGCTGAGTTACACAACAGGCAGTCTGCCTGGCCATGGCAGAACCTGCAGCCAAGATGAACTAGAAAAAGCCTGTGATTATGGACGTCATATAAAGTGCCTTATTCCGCACCTTGTTCGTTCAACTCATTCCACTGGCATCCTTCGTATTCAGCTGCTCCTGTCTGGTGACACACAACATTAATATGCTAAGGAGAAAAAAATCACATATGAACCAACCCAATTTCCACATTAGAGTGACATCATCTCCTTACTTAGCAATATTCGATTTAATGCCCATTACAGAAACACGTGTTGTAAGAGAACAGATTATAAGTGGGAGCAGATGCTGGAAGGTGGGCGGATGTGGTGGTGGTAGACTGTGGAAGTTCTCTTCCAACTACTTCAACTTTCTCAGTGAAAAACCATCCGGTAAACTTACCCAGTGTCTGAGTCTATAGCTGGAATAGCTACCCTCAGCAATTGCAGAATACCCATACTGGCTTCCTGATCCATGGAGTAAGAGTATAGATTTTTGGAAAGCCTAATGTCACACTCCTTAGGCTCTCCCTTCCTACCAAAATAGACAAAGGCAATACCATATATTTGTAGGAGCTGCCGATGTTAGTGCCACCACGAAGGCACAGATGTTGATGGAACTCTCTAGCACCTAAACATGAGCTTTGTATTTGCTGTTCTGACTCATTTACTATTAATGGAGGCCTAGGCAAGAGATGACTCTCCAGTTGGACCAGCCCTACTGTATGCAGCTCCCTAATGCCCTTAGACCCAGGAGATCTGATGGTGCTCAGAGCAACTGGGGCAGACCTGGAGGATGTGTGGAGCCTGCAGCAGATCCCAGTAGAGGAAGCACAGCTGCAGCTGCTTAGCTTTTGGAGCAAAGCCAAGCTCTCTTAGACAAGTAATTATTCTCCTTTTGGAAATAATTTTTGACTTGCTATTGGAGCTTGCTTCTGAGGGCTTGACCATGAGACAGTAGGTGACCATATGACCTAAGCTGTCCATCTAGAAGTGATGAACACCAAGCCAGAAGTCGCATGGACCCAACGCAGCAGCACATCCTCATCAGGCGGGAGTGGTATATATCAGCATTGAGCTTCAGGTGGCTGACTGCACTGGAGCTGCAGGGGCAGTCAGTGCTTTATCCTCTTGGTGTGCCTCCTGCCATGCTCACTCCCCCTCACAGCCATGGTCCCATGGGAAATCCCCATTGAGCAGTTCACCAAGGAGAAAAAGAGTCAAATATGGCTTACAGATAACTCTGCAAATTTTGCTGGCACCTCTGGGAATTTCATTGCAGCCCCACTCAGGGTGAAAGACAGTGGGGAAAGGATATCTCCCAGGGAGCAGAACTTGAAGTGGTCCACAATATACACTTTGCCTGAAAGGAGAAATGGCCTGAGAGGCAGAACCTCACCGTGTCATCCTCATGAGTGACAGTATAGATGGATGGTCAAGGACATGAAAGAAGTTCTTGGGAAGAGGAATGTAGATGGACATCTTATCCTAGACGCCAATATAGATGAATATTTGTGTCCCACTGGAATGGTCACAAGAGCCCCTACTGTGTAGGCGGTTCTAAATATGTACTTAGAAGATTGCCTGCCCAATGCCCTACCCTTTCCCCAGCCAGCCTGGTACTTGCTCGGTGGCCCCATAGACAATGGTTGCAGAGACAGACAGAAACAATGCACTGGCCCAACAAGGACTTCTCACCAAGGTGATATGGCTACTGCTACTGCTGATTAATTTCCAGCAACGGTGACCAACCCTGAGACTTATAACACTACTGCTATGGTTTCAGATTGTCCTCCTGGAAACTCACATTGAAATTTGATCCCCAACGTGTTGGTATTGGGAGGTTGGGCTTAATAGGGGTATTTGGGTCCAGCCTGTAGATCCTTCATGAATGGATCAATACCCTCTTGAGGGAGCTAGTTCATTCTCCCAGAACTAGTTACCAGAGATTGGTTGTTGTAAAAGCAAGTTCCACTTCCTAGACATTCTCTTGCTCTCTTTGCACATACCCACTCACTTTTCTGCTTCTCTGCCATATTTTGACCCAGCATGTGGCCCTCACCAGGAACTGACCAGATGGGGCACTACACTTTCAGCTTCTCAGCCTGCAGAATCATGGGCTCAATAAACAACTCTTCTTCATAAACTAACCAGTCTCAAGTATTCTATTATAGCAACACTCAATGGACTAAAACAGCCACAAACAGGAGGGGAATTATATTGAAGGCCCTTCCCTTGTGAAGAGGGCAATAGCTTGTCCTCACTTTGGATTCTTTATGCCAAC